AATGGAGATAGGTAGAAAGTTTTGTCACTCATGCCCTCAAGAGGCACTTTTTGTTTAATTATTCTAGCTAATTCTTTTAATCTTTTCACAAGCTATGGATGTTTTCCTACGGTTTGTCATGGAAAAATTATGTCTCAGGGAATGTTAGGTGTTTGGGAATTGGCAGGTTTAAAAAGGAAAATAGGAAAACAAAATTAAATCTGTCCCCACTCTAGGACTGTGACATCACGCACTCCAGAAATCTGAAGAAGCCCTCTTTACCAAGGTCTGAACAATGTTTAATTATTGTCTAAAAGTAAGAATTCGAGATTTAAAAGTGTATCACACGAATAATGTCAGAAAGATGTGTTAACATTTTAAAGTTGGAATGAGGGTTTCTGAGTGAAAGTATGAAGGAGCAGTTTTTGCAGTTGAAGTTGCATGAAAGATTGCTGAAGTCTGATAGATTTCTCCATTGACTTCCAATGTTAAAACGTGATGAATTATTGGGATTTATCTCTGGAATTATGAAAGTTATGAATGATTAGAAGTAATAGCCTACGATTCCAGACCGAGCTGACGTTTTGATGTTTGAACACGAGTTTCTGCGATGTTCAATTGCGGGAGAGAAGTGCGCAAAATAACCCGGCGGAATAATAAAAGACTTTCTATGCGTAGCACTAGCATAACAGGATTAGTTGGAAATGCTGTAGTTCAATAATATTTTTATGCATTATATTCTGCTATATAGCATTGTTTTATCATAGCTATCTCCACGTTTAAAATATCCCTAGTCTTAAAACAATGAATCCCAACATACTTATAAAGCACTTTATAACAATTTTAAAATAAAGTATCATATTAATTGCTTTAATTGCTTGTCACTGCTTTTAAGGTTAAATTATATCATTATTTTCATTATACTTACAGCAAATCAAGAGCTATAGTCAGTGATTCATAACCAGCTTGTAATGCATCATAACGGTGAATTATAATTTAATATAGCGATGAAATAAGAAGACATTATGAGGTTCTCCACACAAAATCAGTGTTAGAAATGTGCAAATTAAGAAGTATTGTGATATTTGAGTGTTATGACGAATGAGCCTTTATTTAACCAGGTGAAAGCCCTTGAGATCAAAAGATTCTCCTTTTTCAGGGTGACCCTGCAGGACCATTAGTTACACATGTAACATAAAAACAACAGAACAACATAAGATGACATACAACATAATGTCAGGGTACAGTTTACAAACTCATATTTACAGTGGGACAGGGTACCATGAGGCATTCAAACAGCATGTCACCCGCCGAGTTTTAAAATGATGCAGGGGGAACCAAAGTGCTCAAGTTTTAAACATGTTTGGCAGACTGTTCCAATTTAGTGGAGCTGCACAACTAAAAGCTTTACTTCCCTAAGGGACAGTCCTAGCACTTGGCACATTTAATAAAACAACATCATGAGATCTACAGGCACATAAGTACCTTCAATTCGTCGAGAGATCAGAGACCCAGATATAAAAACGGTAGTTTACACCAACATGGCTTTATAGAATGAACATGTACCATATGACTGAGCCCTCCGTACCAGTTAGTGAAGGCAGGACTGCCTGGTATACAGGGTACAGTGCATGAGTAAGTGCTTTACAGTTAGTAAAAATCTCAGGGGCACCTGGTGATAGCGGCATCTACTTTTTTCCAGGGCAGAGTGGGCAGGTGCATTCAATAGATCAAATCACTAGCACAGGTAAAAGGTCACAGAGTGAATGCCTTTTCCTGGCTTTCAAAGAGAAACAGGACTTGTTTCTAGAAAAAGAAACCTAGTCTAACCCTCAGCTTTTTAAGCAATTAATGGACCTGAAGTTTAAAAGTAGACGAATCATCAGCAGATACCAAGGTATTTATAACAGGTAACCACTGTTGCTAGTAACTTGTCCCTTGCATGAGTAACCATATCCAAGCAGCTGTCTGTAGTCCTTTTTAGCTTTAGAAAAGAGGCAATTTACCTTGGTTTTATCAACATTTAAAAGAAGCTTAAGCTCAAGCGGAGCTGAGTCTGAATAATGTTAAAAAACAGGCCGTGTGATTTAACAACAGCTCCTGAATGGAGGGACCTGCACAGGTACATCACGGTATCACTGCATTTAAGAAATGTAAAGTCTTTTTTTAGGCTTCATCCACGATTTTCACCTAAACTGTTGATATATTATAGAAGAATAAAAGTGGAACTAAACAGACCTTGGGAACCCACCATTAGCAATTGTTTAACCACTTCAGAGGACAAGCCATCAAATGAACACATTGGGACCTTTCAGAGAGGTATGTTCATAACACCCCCACTGACATGGCTGATATGCGATACTGGAATGCTCCTGCTTCCAAAATGTGATGATCCACGGTGTCAAAGCGCTTTGGGACAGTCAAATAAATAGAGCTGCACAACTCGCTTTTATTATCTAAAATACTCGGTAATGTCATTCACCACTTTCATTTGTCGCAGGTGATGGTGCTATGTTGCTTTCTGAATGCCTGGACTGAATGTATTAGACAGGATTATCATTTTTACATAAAAAACTCCTGTTACCTGTTCACTAATGGCGTTCGAGCACCTTCGGCCAGAAACTAACAATTTCTGAGATTGGCCTATAGTTATTTAAAATAGTTGCGCCCCCTCCTTTTAGCAAAGGGGGGGGGGCCCGCAAAAAGGGGGAAAAAAAAAACCAAATAAGCCTGACATCCATTACTTTTGGAAATGCATTGTGCTGGAGGGAGAGTGTTAAAAGAGTAGTAAGAGTAAGAGCAATAAAATCTGCAAGCTATCTTTAAAAAAAGAGAAGGTTCTATGTTGTCCGGGCCAGCCGGTTTCTTATGATCTAGCTTAGATAAGCTTCATGAACAACATTGACAGTAAAAGGAGTAAAACTGAAAGGGTTTTCCAGACCCAAATAAATGTTGTGTGAAATGTCGGTGATTATTGTCTATTCAGGCACCAGATATTTATGTAGTTCTCAAAAATACAGTCTATCTGAGGCTTTGTGCTGCCTAAAACACGTTTTAAGTATGTTTATAATGCATTTTACAGAATAGAAAGTACTATGAGTTATATGGTGTGGGTGAATATTAATTTGGTTTGGAAATACACATGCTATCTGTGTCCTCGGTTTCGAGTTTTTGTGCTGAGCTAGCTAAGATGGAATAGTTTTATATTTACTTCGCGATATGCGAGGTATCGACAAAGTAATTTAATGCCACATTAAAAGGTTTTGCTGAAGAAGATAATCTCAGGACTTCAGGGTGGCTTAGTAAATATAAACTGCAAATATCCAGTTTATATTAACAGGCTATCGAGCCAGAAGATTTAGGTTAAAGAAACACTGGACGTCCAAGGCGCACCCAAGCTGAATCTGCACAGCCACGGTGCAAGTGCTAATTGATAGAGTTTTTATTTGACTACTGTTATCTCATAAGCACAGCACCATAGGGTGTTCCCTTGAGACTACATGTCATGGATTCCAAGGTGAAAACTGGGGGGACTGTGTTTTAATCTTGCGTTGGTTAAATAGCTTGGAAAGTGCACTGCCCATATCAAATGTATAGGGATATAACCTTGACCAGAATGTGTGGAGTGTGATAACACACATGCCCCTCAGTCTAATGGCTATATGGGCAGGGGAGCTGAGGGGGGATTTAGCAGGATATAGTGTAGCTTAACAGTGTTAATGGCTCGAAAGAAATGTCTTTTATCTTGCCTTATTTTGCTCTTTTCTCACAACTGTCTCTTCTCTTTCCGCTCTCTGCTTCTCATTAATCACTGTACTCCAACGCCTGTGTTCTTCAACTCTGTTACTTCCCATAATGTTTGATATGCTAGGAACAAAAAAGTGTGGATCTTTCTTCTAAAAGTGCAGAATTTCAAACTATTGCTGAAAATATTTCAAGCCTTATATGAAAAGTAAAATCCCGTCTGGTAGGAAAAGACATTGCGTTCCCAGCCTCGAGTGTTAGTTGGAGAGGGAATCAGGGGAATGTAAAGTATTTTTATTTAGGGTGAGATGTGGCAGTATTTAAAAAATCCCTAGTGTAACACCTTACCCTGCAGTTCTCATCCTACCCAAAAAGCTTCACAGCCAATTAATCCCTCAGCCGGGTTAGAAACTAAAGCATGTATGTGGAATGGGGAAGGCTGGGAGGGAGCAGACATTTTAAATCACAAGAGAAAAATCTCTTTTAGTCGTTACAAAATCCCGTTAGGCCATTTGCAAATTAATCTCCGCTGGACAGTTTGCTGGTTTGTTTTTACATTGCATTTTTTATCCTCTCTACAGCCACCTTGAATTCCTGGGGCTCAAACAATATGGCTTCAAAAAATACCAACCAGGACAACATACTTCCATTGGCCGTCTCAGGGACATTTCTCTTCTTTTCGGCATTGCATGCCNTTTCTTTAACATGTTTATTAGAAGCTGCATATAGTTGAGTTTGGCGTCTAGGCTCGGACCTCATCACTCCACAGATATACATAGCACGATGAGTGATGATTAAATAACTAACCCCCCGAGCCTACAGGTGGAAGCTGGGGTGGAAGCTGGGGTGGGCAAGCAGACAAGCAGCAGCGACGTGGAAGTAGCTGCAGCAAAAGCAGCAGCAAGCAAAGCATAGAGAGAGATCTGGCAGGTTAAATAGAGCGGCTAATTAAGGAGACTGTTTGGTTGGTTGTAGAGTGGCAAGGGGCGTTATGTATGAATGCAGCATAAGTGCTCGAGTTGACTCCCTGAACTAGCTCGCAGGCTTCGCCCCATTTATCTGACTTTTATCTGTTTCAATCGGCAAATGAGGCAATATCAACTTTTGGTGAATTTAATAGAAATGCACAGACACAAATAGACACAATTTAATAAAAGAAACACCTTAATGTGTTCTCTTGCATGTTTTCTTCCTACTTCTCTGAGTAGAGAAATTGACTACAGAGTAGGAAAATCTTTTTGCCTGTCCGGCCTTAATAATAGACTTTATGCTGCATAGAAATATCGTCGCTATATAGAAGTTACTCACTATTCAGGGACTTGACAGCACAGTGGATTTCTCTGTTGTTTTGGTCCGTGAAGTAGCCGTGATAGACCGTCCCAAAATGACCTAGAGGGGGAAGAAATACAGAATTACTGCTGTTTCTCTCTCACTAAGCGTACACAAAGCTCCATAACAAGTGTCTCTTGTTTCAGATGAAGGCGGTGGGGTTCCTCACCCTTCCCTATGATCCGGTGGTGTTGCACAACGAGCATCTCAGCGGGAATAAGAACATCCTTCACCTCCTCCAGCAGCTCGGGCCGGAAACTGGAGATGGAGATCTTCTCTGAGGGCATGAGGGGGGTGAGGAAGGGATCGAGGCCCGATGCAGCGTAGCTCAGGAACCCCCCCTGACCCAACAGAGGGGTCGGAGGGCTCAGGGACGCTACTGAGAAAGACCAGAGAGAGGGGTTTAGTTATCTTTTGAAAAATGTGAAACTGAATCTGCCTTTCTTCCAGCAAAAGACATATACAAGTGCATACCCCATGGAAACAAAAGTACAAAAATTAAATAAATAATCACGTTGATGTAGTTAACAAACATTATTATAGTAAAGCAAGTTAGTATACATATGCTACACAAAAGCATACAAATATGATTAGTAAAATAAAGCTATTTTTACTGGGTATTTCCAAAAGTCAGATATTCTATATTATGCAAATATATTAGATATTTTCTTAGCCTTGGAAAATAAAATACGAAGATTTCATATTTAAGGACATCCTGATAGTTTCGCTAAAAATGATTTCTGGTAATGTGCACAGAAAGTCTTGGGCAGTCCAACTAGCAATGGGACACTGTGCCCTTATCATTATTGCATTTCACACAATGGTCTGGATTCCTGGCCTCAAAATAGTGTAATAGAGACTATAGGGTGTATTCATGACAGTTATAGAGGTACGTTTGTCAGAAGCAAAGTGCAGTATAGATAGTCACCTCTCCTGTAGTCCCCGATGGGCGACATCTCCAAGTTATTACTCCCAGAGCGGTTAGCGCTGTGGTTCAAACGGCTCTCTACCATGGAGGCTGAAAAACATTTCACAACTCTTTTTAATCATCAACCCCAGAAGAAGAACATCCCACGCAACACCAGGGATGTTCTATTTGAAAGACTTGTGTAATTCATCCCAAATGCCCAAGCACAGCCGCTACCAGTCAGACGTAACAGAGAGGAGCCCACCTTTCTTCTTCTTCCTCAAGTGCTTCATGACAACGAAGGCAAGCACCGCCCCGGCCACCAGAGCCGCCAGGATCCCCAGAACAATGCCCACCATGTAGTGGTTGCTGACCCTCATCACCGTACCGACGTTATGCACCTGCCCGTTGATGGAGATCTGAAAAACATTCATCATTCATCATCAAACACAAAGATTATGAAATGAATACATGTCAAATGTTTTGGCTTTTAATGCATGCCGACAGGTCAAAGTGTCCGAATGTTCTGGATTTATGCAAAGAATGTAACAAATGTGAGTGGTTGAAGTGAATGGAGCTTGTTCCCTTTTTGCATAACGGGCCTGAGAGGGAAAAGATCAAAGGAATTGTGGTTAGCTGTTTTCTGTTCAAGCTGTTTTTCTCTCCTCGGTTTATGACAACATGGAAAAGAAAAGCTCAGCTAGAATAATCTTTAAAATATCCTTTATTTAATCTTTCACGTGGAGAAAACTGTTTTTGTAAGTTTAACCCTCCTCTTGTCTTCGGGTCAAATTCGACGATTTTCTACTTTTATCAATCATACGTTTTTTGTTTTACATTTGATTGCATTAAGGCTTTATGATATCCTTCACAGTAGACATTTGAACATATTGCTGATCACCACTTTCATTGAATTTTGGATGATTTAGTCAACTTTGAAACACCTATGGTGTTCCCGGTCAAACATGACCGCCATAAAGAAAAGGAATTAGTAACCATCCGGATCAGATAAAACACAGACACACACACACACACACACACACACACACACACACACACACACACACACACACACACACACA